AATTATTTCTGATTTCATTTTTCCCAGATCCTCTTTTGTTGCCAGTTCAGAGAGTCCAGGTGGTTGAGTATCAGATTGTTTCATCTCATTTCCCTTTGGGGTTGCTGTAGGTGATCTGGAAGTCTGCTTTCATGGCTTGTTCATGTGTCTTCTCATTTCCACGGTGGGGCGGGGGGAGTGCTTCTGCCGCCCACGCGGCTCACCTTCTGTGCCCTAGGAGCTTGGGATGGCAGCAGGGGAGCTTCCTTCTGGGTGCTGGGACCAGCTGAGCGTCACTGCCCTAGGAGCCTGGGATGGAGGCGGGGAGCTTCCTTCCGAGTGCTGGGACGGGCTGAGCTTCACTGCCCTAAGACTTCCTTTTTAAAAAATTAAGTTTATTGATTCAATTTAAATATACATAATGATCACATTCATCACAGGGAATTTGTACCTGTACATGATATATCTTGATTCTTCTTTTTTTCCCATTCCCTTCCCCTCCCTTCAACCCCCGTTCGTCTCCTTATTTACAAAAGCTTTGTTTCCATTTTATCCTTTTCTCCTTTTTTTTCCCTTCTTTTCTCTTACTTCCTTTCCCCTGCCCCCTTCCCTAGTTCTCTTTCTCATTTGAACATTTTCTTCCTCTTTCACAATATCTGTTATACATTTTGGTCTTTATTTACAGTTTCATTTTCTCACACCAGAGAGACAGTGATAATGCGATATTTACATATGTGGTATGTGATTTCTTTCACTTAAGAGTATGGTCTCAAGGTGCATCCATTTACCTAGAAATGTCTCAAGTTTATCCTTCTTTATGGTTGAATAGTATTCTCATTGTGTTAAAAAACCACAAAAAAGACTTTCTGCAACACAGCAGTAACTGCAGTTACATTCGAGAAATTATCAATGGAATAATATGACAGTCTATAATTATATTTTTCTAGTTATCCTAAAACATTTATAGAATTTTGGAGAACTTCTCATAATGCAATAAAGAAACAAATCTGGTTATCTTGTCCCTTTAGCTCTCTTAAATCAAGAATGTTTACTTTTCCTTTGTGTCATTTTGATATACTGAAACATTTGAAGAGTTGAAGCCCCTGACATGTAAAACCTTCCTCTGTCTGGTTTTGTGTGAATGTTTTCCAGGAGATTAGATTCCAGTTATGTGTTTTGGGCAAGAATATAAATACATATGTTATGTATGTCCCACTTCATGATATTGTGCCTAGGGCCATGTAATTTCACTTTGTTCCATTATTAGCGATGCTTAAGATAGCACTTATTAAGGAGTTGTCTTCTAGATCTCTCCATTGTTGGATTTCTGTTTTTCAAAAGCAATTAATTAAAAAAATTGATGGTCCTTTAAGACATTGTAAATATTATTTTCCAGTTTTCTCAAAGTTTTAACATTGATGGATGATGCTTGCTAAAAGTTGATGACTTTAGCTGTACTGTTGGGCAATGACTTCTAAGTTTCTTTTCTTTTCTTTTTTGTACTGGGGATCGAACTCAGGTCCTTGGGCTTGCGAGTCAGGTGGCAGAACCATTGAGCTAAATCCCCGGGCCTCTAAGTTTCTTTTCTGTTTTAGGATTCATCTGTAATAATAAATTTTCCCATTTTTTAAATTAAGAGAAACACATTTCATTTCAGTGATGAACAATAACTGTCAGTGTACTTGTTGATATCATTCCCCTAAATCATCTGTAAATAGATCCAACTTCCACTTTAAAAAGCCCCAAATGAAAGAATTCTAAAAACTCCTAACTTTTCAAGGGTGAGTGAAGGTTTCTATTTTAAGCCATAATCCACATACAAAATATATAAAACCTGAAATGATGAAATAGAGCAACAGGTGTGATAGGCACCAGTTCCCAGCTTGATAATAGAGCATATTCTGAAAATTTTGTACCAAAATTCCCAAGATCTCAGTGTTTGAACTGCTAATGGAGGTCACCTTTCATAGTCACTGCTCCTGGCTTTAAACTTGTGTTTGCTATTACTTGGTCTGTCTGTCTGGAAGTGTTATACTTTTCTTCGGATAAGAGCTTCCTCATTCATAAATTAGAAATTGGTCTAGACCAGTTCCAACATTTCTATCCACTCAACTTCTTTATAACTCCACTCATCTGTCATTTCCAGGGCACAAATTTAATAACATCTCTGACTTCTGTGCTGCATGATGACCAAGAATTCTCCAATCCAGAGATATTTGATCCTGGCCACTTTCTGGATGAGAATAGCAACTTTAAGAAAAGTGACTACTTCATGCCTTTCTCAATAGGTAATGGAAATTTATTTCCATATGTACTTTTGGGGACAAAATAAGGTTTTAGGATCAGATGCAACTTACATAGTGCCTCCTCTGTTGCTGGTACATTTGCTCTTTGTATACCATCAGGAGCACAACTCCATTACCCATACACTTTCCCTGATCATGATATATCCTCATTATTTGGAAAAATTAGTGGGGCTTTGCAAAATATCTGACCTGGTCTTCAATTCTAATTGGGAAAGCTAGCGGATAAGTCAATTGAACTCTGTCTCTGGATATGTCTTCGAGCTACCCAGGAGTTCCTCTTAAAAGTGAAATTCATTTAGACTTTCCTTTGTTGTATGGCAAAAATAATCTAAGTCTACCCTTTGGGTGTCTGTCCTGTGGTGTCCCTCACTCCCAGACTGAGCTGGGTGGATGCAAGTATCCTAGAGCATGTATGTGTTCCCTCCTGAGTTAGGGAAGAGTAAAGAGAGTCAGTAATCCAAGGGGACTAGCACAAATTGCTGAGGAGGACAGAAGCAGAAGTTGTTTGAGTTTTGCTTTTTTATACCCTGACACATTCTAACAGGCGAAAGGACAGTGAAGGTGACTCATAGTAGGTTTGGAGCAAGGAAAGAAGTGATGGGAAGGGCACTTCACAGGTGGCAGTAGGGTACAGGAGAGGCCATTTTCTGTAGATGCAGGAGTCAGACTCTGCCAAAAAACCTCCAAAACCAAACCAAACCAAAAACCTCAAAAGACAGCAGGCTGAGAAAAATTTTGGGAATGTGAAAGGACATTCTGAAGTGATTCCAGAGCACACTGACGTATCTTCACTTGTGATCGTGCATCTTGAACATTCAGCTCACTGTTAAATTGTGCATGCTGAGAATCTAGACATGGAGTTGCCTTCATTTTTTGCTATAGCTTTGATGTGTATGTTGGGCCTGGTACTGTACATATCAAGATGTCAAGAAATGAGCCCTTCTTTTAAGGAACTCATTTTGCCAGGAATGAAAAAAATAACAGAATGATATTCAAAGTGGTCCATGTTTCTGAGGGTGAGATTCTGTTTCATGGGGGGATTATAATGATTACAGAAAGGAAATGGCCTAGGACATACACCTGTAAGGAAGAATAAGAGCAGTGGTTTTTAGCCAAATGGAACAGCATGAGATGAAGCTGGAAATTTCATGGTGCTGGAGACTGAAGAAGAGGGGCTATGCCCAGATCTTAAAGGAAAGAGTGTGAGAAATGGAAGGATGAGATTGAACACCAGAGAGGGAACAGGATGTGAAAGACCAGGTTAAGGTAATTGCACCTTGTCTCATAAGACAGACAGGAGAGCCATTTAAAGTTTTAAACTGAAAGAATGACATGTGTAGGCAGCTGACTTTGAAGATATAGTAGGGAAAAATAATCTATGGCTGAGTATTGTCCAGAAAGGTGCAAAGAGAAACATTCTTCCTGCTGGCCAGTGGACAGGATGTGAGTTTTTTTTTTAGAAAAAGAGTTTTGAAAACTTGAAATGTCAAAAATAGCAGTTATAATGTGAATAGGCATTGAAATTGTGACAAGTCTGATTACATGAGCTATAAAGTAGAAAGCAAATGTATTCTTCTATGTATTTGTCTATCCAACAACCTCATATTTTACATACCCATAAATTAGTTAATGTATCTTTTTTTGTTATATTTCAGAACCTAATGTTTAAGGGGAGAATCCTGTATGTTTTTGTTTTTTTTTTTTCAGGAAAACGGATGTGTGTGGGAGAGGGCCTGGCTCGCATGGAGCTGTTTTTGTTCTTGACCACCATTCTACAGAATTTTAACCTGAAATCCTTGGTTGATACAAAGGACATTGAAACCATCCCAATTGCCAATACATTTGGCCATGTGCCACCTTTGTACGAGATCTGTTTTATTCCTGTCTGAAGAGTGGCACAATGCTTTGGGTACTGCTGTGCTGACACCTGCAACTTTGCCTCAATAGGGGCATAATCCATCTCTTTCCCATCATCATGGATACCATCCCTCAGCTCTCCTTTTACATTTTTCCAATCCCTCATAATCCAATGAACATCCATTCCTTGGTAAGGAAAATATTATGGTCACTACACAAATATATCTACAATCCTCTATGCTCTGTAAAAATTGTATTAACATCACAAGTGCTAATACTTACCTTATGACAGGTTATGAAAATGATCTCATTATTAAGTAACAAAATAATTAATTATGACAATTAAAAGCCATTATTAATTGTTGTGAGTAAAAAGTATAGTTAATTGCTGGGTGATGTGTCAGACTTTCCTTTTTTTGCACATAACATAGGTAAGAAATTAGTCTCAGTAGTTATGCTGTTCCTCATAATGATCTGCGTAGAAAGGGCCCAAGAATAAGGCAGAAAAGCTGTATTGGTCGAATGTCTCTTAGAGTTATGGGAGATTTGGATTTGAAAGACAGAAACTATGTCCAAGAGCAGCTATGACTGTATGGAAACATTGAGGAGTCAGCTGTAGGGAGGGTAAATATTAGGTGTTAGTATATCTTATGCCTCTGCTTTGGTGTTAATATCAACAGAAAATAAATATTTGGGATATTCTTTTTGTTTTAAGTTTCCAACTTAGAGTATGAATTTATGTGTACATATTGTTAATAAGGTGATCTGTTATTCTTTTCTCCCTAAACAACAACAAAATCCTTGGAAACATCCACCTAGTCCTATTATTTTTCTACTTTTTATCACCTGTTTTACACTCAATATAAGTGTTATGACAATTTGATGCTGTGACCCTAAAATCCTGCCATTTCTAGTGCATAGACAACCAAACATTTTGTACACATATCAAATTCTGGTAATCTTTTTTCCTATCCTCTGGTCTTGAAGTGTATGAAACACTAAAGATATCATCCATTAAGGTTTCCTCAGATCATCTCCCAGAGAAAAGCATATTTTGGCATGTGTTTGTGAGATAACACATCCAAATCTATGCATAAATACATACTTACACATAACTGTGTACATGGTATATATTCACATATACATGTTATTATGTACATATACATCTCATATTAAAAGTGGTTCTTAAAATATTGAGTTCTGTCTTGGTCACTTTCTTATCACTGGGGCAAAATACCTGATGTACACAACTTAAAAGATGAGAGGTTTACTTTGGCTCATAGTTTCAGTGTGTGCTTAGCAGGCTCCAAGTTAGAAATGGCATAGTGGAAGAGCTTGGGCAAAGGACAGCTGGTTATTCATGGTAGCCAGGAAGCAGAGTGAAAGGAGTGGCCAGGGACAAGAATATACCCTTCTAGGTCATGATCCCAGTGACCCACCTGTTCCAACTGGGCCCCGTCTATTAACACATAATGCTCTTGGGGATTATTTCAGATCTAAACCATAACATCTCCCCTTGGCCCACAAAAGACTCATGTTAATCTCATTATGCAGTTAGTCCAACTCTAAGAGTTACCAAAGTCTTAACAGTTCTGGCATTATTGAAAAGTTCCAAATCTCTTCTGAGACTCAAAGCAAATTCTTAGCTGTTAGCCTCTTTAAAAATAAGAAAGAAACTTAAATACTTCCCACATACAATGGGACAGGGTAAACATTCCTATTCCAAAAGGGAGAAATAGGGGGATAGAAAGGAATTGAACCAAAGCAAGACCAAAACCTCACAAGGCAAACATTAAATGTACCTTTATCTATCACCTTAGGCAAGTTTTGGCAAGATGAGAACCCCAAAGGCCTTGAGTTCCCCTGCCCACATTGCTTTGTTGGTTGTAGACCTCATGGGCTTCCTGTGGGAGTGGTTCCTTTCACTGCTTGAAACTTTCCTCGGCTGATGTTCCACATTCCTGGCATCTCCAACTTTCTAGGATCTCCACTGCCCCTTTGACTTTACTCTCAGAGCTTCATGCACTACCCTCATAGGGGCAAACTGTGTAGACTCCCAGATCTTATGAAATCTGATCAGAAGCCTCCATGACCCCATAAGCCTTGCATTCTTCTTCCCTGTAAAATCAACACCACATGGATGATTCCAAAGGTATGCAGCAACCTCAAGCAGTAGTCTTATCCCCTTGGACCATGGCTGCACTAGCCTCCAAGTGCCTGGATGGCTGAGTACAATGAAACAAGTACTGGGGAATCAATTCCCAGGTGTCCCTTCTGAAGAAGGGGGTCCAGGGGATCTCTTCTCAAATGAAAAGTTTACAGTTTTGTACCTCTGAGCCTGTGAAGGGTGACATCTTGCTGATTCTTCAGATGACTTTAAATCATCTTTCCTATAGTCTTGATGCAAAACACTTGGCTTCTTTTTTTTCTTTTTGGTACCAGGGATTGAACTTAGGACCTTGCGCTTGTGAGGCAGGTGCCACCAGAGCTAAATCCCCAGCCCACTTGGCTTCTTTTTAATGTAAACCTTTACAGAAACTATGCTGTCCTTTGCCGAAACACTGGCACTTTCTTCCTGACAAAACTACAAACTTTTCAAATCATTCAGCTTTGCTGTTTGCTCCTGATTTTAGATCTGACTAGAAGCAGCTATCAGTACTCATGCCACAGCCTGAACATTGGGATGGCTTGAAATTTTCTCCACTAGATTAATTACTCTGCTGCTCTTAACTTCTATCTCCTGCAAAATCTTAAGATATGGGCAAAATGAAGACAAAGTTTTTGCTATAATGAAATACACATGGCTCCTAGTCCAGTTTCCAATAAAGTATTCATTCTCAATTGAAACGTCCTTAGCCTTGCCTTAGCAGGTCAAATTCCTATCAGCATTCTAGTCTTCTGAGCTCTGACTAGAATCTCTCTTTAATCTCTGCTCACAGCAATCTAGGAATTTTCTAGCCCACTTCTCTAAACTTTTCCAAACTCCTCTTGTAACCAAATTCCAAATGCTTCTAAATGTGTTCAGGTATAGTCACAGCAATGACCCCACTTCTCTGGTGCCAGTTTTATAGCCACTGCCTCATACAGGGACAAAAGACCTGATATCTGCAACTTTAAGGAGGAGAAGTATATTTTGATTCATTTTAAGTCCATGGTCATAAGGATTCAGGGCAGAAGGGGCATGGTGAAAAGGGCTGGGTATATGACAGCTGCACATCCCATGGTGGCAGGAAGAAGAGTAGAAAGAAGGAGCTGGGGACAAGAATACATACTTCCAGGTAATGCCCCCAGTGACCTGTCTCTTCTGATCAGGCCTCACATCCAAACACATGAGACTTCTGTGGGACATTTTAGATCTGATCCGTAACTGGTTCACGTTTTATGTATTGGTTTATAAGTTGCTATTTTCTACTTAACATAATGCCAGGAAAACTTCAAAGGTAATTAAAGTAGAGGCATGGAAGATAATTTGATTGTATATATTATAAAAAGGAAGAAATAGTAATGGCTCTTAAACATGAAAATAGCTTAAAAAGAACAAGTACAAATTAAAACTACATTAAATTCCTTTAAACCTTTCTGATTGGAAAACTAAAAATGTTTTTTAAATAAGCATTTAATTAGGATTTCATTAGTATTTAATATTGCTTCTTCAATTCCAAAATGTTAAATTTTCACTTCTTAGATATTTTAAAGTACAATATTAAGTTTATACAAAATGAGCAATTAAGCAAACACCATTATTTCACATTCTTCAAAAATACAAATTCATATTTATTCTTTTTTGGATTTGGAGGTTTCTTCCTTTGGAAGTACTGAACCTGTAACATTTTCATATCACTCAGTGGAAATCTGTTGTTCCCAAGTTTCACACTTAAATAAATTTGATAGACTTTTACATAATCCAAATAAAAGTTTTGAGATTTTAAAAACTGTCACCAAGACTACCAGCCAATGATTAGTGTGTGTCAAAAAAGGCTCTCGGGGTCTCTTGCCTTTCCTAGCTAGAAGATTTCTGCCAGAGACTCAACAAAAACCTGTTTCTAGCCACCTTCTGGAAAGAAACTAGACTAGCTACCTTGAACTCTGACCCCACCCCCATTTCTCCAAAACACAACAAAAGATGTAGACTGTTGAGTCAAATAGCCTTTGAGAGGCCTGAGAACATGAGAGGAAAACGCCAAGAGAAGCCTCTGACTTGGCATCACTACAAGGACAACAAAGATATTGCAAAAAACACCCCTGGGTTTTTATGAAAAAATTTTCCCATAAGAAAAAGTAGAAACTGCATTGAGCTGAGAAGGTGACAGTATCAACCAATTTTTGGCCCAGTGGGCACACCACCAAAAGGGTAGTGTGTGGTTTTAAACCTCATTTCCAATAATAAAAAAAAGCTTGTACTATGTACATCTTGACATAAAGGTCCAGTTCAATTTGCACTTTTCAATGCAGATTGAGAAGCCCTCTTGATCAAGAATAGCAGTGAGAAATGCCCAGACTGATCATTAGCATCCCCAAAGGGCATGAGAAGAAACAAGGACCCTTCCCCTCTCCCCCTCGCAAGAATATGCAAGAAGAAACAGGCTGAATAGACTGACCGATCAGAAATACACATTACTGGGTTTTACTGCCAACCCTGCACCCCTACATGTTAAGGAATGGACAGTTTTCCATCTATGTCCAGCAGAACCACTTGCACATAGCATCTGTGGAAATCTTTCTGCTTTGTTGAAGTGTATTTAAAACTTCTGTAGTCTAGAGCCTGAAAATTAATTGAAGATTAAATGGCAGGAGGAGGGAAAAGGAATAAAGTTAATAAAACAGATTATTAGTAGCTTTGTTAATGGAGGCTGGAAGCCTTTTTTCTTAGAACCTCTTGGAGAGGGAACAAGAAGTGGTGAAAAAGGGCCTCAACACTCAGCTGGAGAAAACAACACCCACAGCAGTTCTTCCGAGAGCCTGTGGGGGCGCCCTGGGGCACACGGGGAAGGCTTGCATAGTTTGAGCAGTTGTTGAGGATGAAAAATAGTGTTTCCCTACAGACAGCCTCCTAAGGGCACAGGCTGAGGGAGCAGAAAAACACGACCAGGCCAGGGCCGCATGTGACAATGACCATCAAGCTACAAATAATGCACCAAGACAAGTGCTTTCTTTTCACACCTTAATTTAACTTCTTATTCTGAGCAAAAAATAAAACTTTGTGGAAAGTATATGTATATATGCATATATATACACACAACAGAAATTGCAGCAATTGGATTAAAGATAAAATAACCTAAAATGCTTTTTATTTTATTATTTCTTTAATATACCAATATGAAGTTCTGCAAACTTGTCCCTCTGGACATATTCAACATTATACAAAGTCTCTCAAGAAAACCCACCTACCCTCATTATCCTCATCAGCCCACTGTCTTGAACCTGAAAATGACTCTCCAATCTACTGACTCTCCCAGAGGTGGTGTTGAGCAGCCTCTTGCCTTTCTACCCAGAGAAGGATTCACCTCTCAAGGACTCTCCTGGGGTTTGTACCATAATCTCCTCAAGGCGGGTAAAATTCAATAAATGACACCCCTCCTGCTACCAAACTAGTGAGGCCCGCATGAGACTGGCCAGACCCTGTCAGGGAAGACTGAGCCATTTCCCTCAGTGTCCCACCCACCTACCTGAGAAGGGCCCAGTTCACAAGGGCAGTTTGGTGGCACCTGCTAGTTTCCTTATCACCTCCTCCTAAGTCCACAGACTCCTCTTCTTGGTGCCGACTAGCACCCTAGGAGGGGCAGTCTAACTGGAGTTGCTAGTGGGAGCCAAAGTATAGGACTATAGGGTGAAAATTGTTATGGTTACCATGGGGAGAAGAAAAGGCTGATTCTACCTTCTAGAATTACTCAAGGTTCATTTCTGGGTTTGGGAAACCACACTTTTCATGAAAGTTTTTCTACCTCCAGTGTAGCCAGGGAACCTCTCCTAGCCAAGGTCCTTGACACTGGAGCCCAAGGTTGTGGGAGAAGGATGGGAAGGGAAGGAGCATGGGAAGGGATGGAAGGAAGGTCTGCCTACCCTGTGGAATAAACCTGTACTGCTAAGCATTTGAAGCATGCTCCTGGGGTGCTTCCTGGTCAAATCTGATAGTCTCTTTTGTAATCCAAACCACCCACAAAAGGCAGATGCTTCACCTTCCTCAATAAGAAAAATCT